TATCTCTCATTCTCTCTCTCTCTCTAATAAATTAAAAAAAAAAAATAGCACACCTACTTAATACAAGTCATACTCAAGAAATGTTCTATGTTGCACACCCCTAGAACCCAAGGTTCCTGCTCCCTTCCCCCACTCACCCTTCCGGAGTCTCTCAATAGTCCCACCTGTTACAGTGTGGCCCCACACATAGGCATGTGCCTGCTTGTGCTTGGCTCTCAAAGGCATTACTTATGCCAAATATATGTTAAAAGATTTCTCCCACCAACCTAAAGTAGTGGCCCAAACTTTCATCATTACTTAATTTTTTGCATTAAGTTACTAGGGGAGAAAAATGCATTGTTTTTATCATCTAATGACATTTTAGTTCTGATTAGTTTGTCTACCAGGCCTCCCATTACTCTGAACTCCCATAACATTTAGTATATACCTTTTATCATTGCACTCACCACAGTGTATTGGAATGATCCTTTTTCCTGTTTGTCCAAGCCACTATGAGCTCTCCCAGGCTATCTGTGGCAGCTGGTACAATGTCAGCCTGGCACATGGTAGGCCCTCAAAAATACTGTCGAACCAAACATGAGCAACCCATTGCTTTAGGCAAGCCCTGGAGAGTTCAGGAAAAAAGAGCCTAAAAAAAGTGAGTCAAGGAATTTGGTAATTGCAGTGAGGAAATGTTTCATCAAGAATGCACCACTTAGGGGCGCCTGGGTGGCTCAGTCGTTAAGCATCTGCCTTTGGCTCAGGTCATGATCCCAGGGTCCTGGGATCGAGCCCCGCATTGGGCTCCCCGCTCCGCGGGAAGCCTGCTTCTCCCTCTGCCACTCCCCTTGCTTGTGTTCCCTCTCTCACTGTCTCTCTCTCTCCGTCAAATAAATAAAATTAAAAAAAAAGAAAGAATGCACCACTTGATTGGCTTCTGCAAGGGGTGAGAGGCCTAGCAGAGATCAATCTTGCTCCTGTCACAATTTGGTTAACCTTGACCAGTGGTTTACCTTTGAAGATGGGTATTCTGTCTCTACGATGATGAAGAGAATTTTCCTCAGTGATTAAAAGTAGGTGAGGGACAGACCCAACCCTAATCTCATATTCCAGTGTTTCCCACCCCAAAAAGCCTGAGCTTGCTTCCGGGGGATAGGGTTTGCAACATACATATTTCTTGTGTTCTTTTTTTTTTTTTTAAGATTTTATTTATTTGACAGAGAGAGACACAGTGAAAGTGGGAACACAAGCAGCGGGAGAGGGAGAAGCAGGGTTCCCACTGAGCAGGGAGCCCGATGCGGGGCTCCATCCCAGGACCCCGGGATCATGACCTGAGCCGAAGGCAGACGCTTAACGACTGAGCCACCCAGGTGCCCCTGTATTTCTTGTGTTCTTAAGAGTCTAACACAGAGTCTGACACATATTAGGAACGGAAACATAATAGCTAACAATGGTATAGTGCTTACCATATGCCAGACACATCCCTCTAAGTATTTTATATGTATGAATTCATTTAATCCTCACACCCGTGAGGCAGATACCATTATAATCCCCATTTTACAGATGGGCAAACCAAAACACACAGGAATTTATGTGACTTGCTCAAGATCAGGTAGCTCCAGGGTCCATGCTTTTAAGTGCTTCACCTTAGTGCATTTAAATGGGAGTGAATGAATACATCTCTCCGTGCACCTTTCCGTGCACTTATAGCAGATTGTTTCATCTCCTGGGACAACACTTAAGGCATGGTCTCCCTCACCAGACTGTCACTAGCTCAGGGCCATTCTTTGATGACCCTCAGTTCCTACAGCCTTATTACTTGCCGCCCCATTGCAAGACTACCGTGCGGGCCCGTGGCCACCAGGGGGCGTGATGGCCACACGTCCTCTTCCCCCTCTCTCCGGTCCTGCGCGACCCGAGGAGGGCGGAGCCAGCGTTGGGCGGAACCGGCCAGATCGCCCCGGGGAAGCTATCCCGGCGGGCTGCGCGCGTGGCCGCGTTTGAATGGCTCAGAGTGGGGCTCGGCCCGGGAGCCAAGGGACGTCCTGGGCGGCCGGGCGTAGTTGGTTAGTCCCGGGGCTGGGCTGAGGCGCCGCGGTACCATGAGGCGCCGGTAAGTGACCGCCGGGCCTCCGCGAGCCCGGCGCCCGCAGCTGCCCTGCGGAGGCCGCGCGTCTCCTCGCGCCCGGACGCGCCCTGGGCCCACCTGAGGCCCCGCGGCGGCCTCCGCTCGGCCGGGCCGGCTGCGGGATCGGGGGCGGGGCGGTGAGGCCGCGGTCTCCGGGCGGGAGCCCCTGCGCCGCCGCGGCGAGGAGCATCCCGGCGGCGGGCGCTGGAGGCCGTCGCGGGCGGCGGGGGGGGGG